TTTGAATAATTGGGTGTAACTGTAGGCAGAGAGAAACTACAAGACCAGATGTGCATATAAAGCTAAACACAGGATCTAATCAAATCAGTCCACCATCTGTAATGAGAAGAAACATCATGTGACAAACCTGGTCAATATGTGAAAATGGTACAAATTTCTGGATAACGAGCTTAAGCTAAATTAATGTGTCACATGAGTCAGAAATGGAAGCATTCATAAAATTGATTGCACCAGTTCAACTTAATCACATCAGATTTTACTACATTAACACCATTTTCTCCTACAAACTGACCTTAGGTGACCTATCACAAATAACAAGCTGGGAGTATCAGAAACATATACCCACAGGTAGAAATAGCTCATGGCAGACTAAGGTTCATATGCACACTTCTATCCATACAAAATAAATCCTACCTATCAAACTATTCTTTTCCAAGCAGTTGGTGTTAAAACTCTCCAGGCAGCTGTGCTTTAAGCCAGAGCTGCCGAGAGTGGATCCTGATTCTTTGGAGCTACCTCAGGAGCAGGAGCTGCAGCAAGGACTGGAAACAGGAGACAGTAAAGCCAAGAGCACAGAGTTAGGCACTGCTAGAGAAGGGGGTGTTCAGTGGGCTGAAGTCAGGACTGTGGGGCTTTGGAAACCCTGGGCTGGAATATAATGTTTGCACAGCCTCAGATGGGGTTGACCTTGCAGTGTCAGCTGAAAAATATCACACCACCAGGCAAAGCCCCTGGGGATGGCCTTGCTGATCTCCTGGCTTCCTCTGGGTTCTGGGGGTTCTGGGTTGTCCATGCTTAGGTTTGCAGTTTGCTGTGGCATGAGGGCTTCATGGCAAGGAGGGGAGGTCTGGCTATCTGATCTGCCAGGACAAAGCCCTCCTTGTGCAGCAGCTCTGACAGCAGGGGATGGGGCTCATCCACACAGTGCCGCTTCCATCCTCCAGCCCTGCCAGGACACCCTCGGCTGTCCTGTGGGCTCACAGCTCTGTGCACTGCAGCAAGGCAAACGGGAAGCCAGAGTCAATCCAGCTTAACCAAAAGCAGAAGTTGCTGTTACTCCATGACATTGTGATTGGTGACACAAATTGGGCTGCCCTCTCTTTCCCCTGCATTTTGTGCTGCATCCCTGGTACCAGCAGCCTGGACGTGCTGCAGGATGAACTGCACCAAGGCAGGGAGGGAAAGAGCAGAGCCTCCAGGAGGTGACGGTGACTTTATATAATCTATGGGGTTAAGTTTTTGATGCAAAGCTTCACTGACTTAGCAACATGTGAGTGTGTTTGTGGGTTTACAGATTTACTCCAGTGCTCCAGCAGATCATCTTCCCCTTGTGCTGCCTCTCTGGAAATAGTTCAAGTCAGTGTATTGTGCACATAATTGCTACTGGCTTTCCCAGCCTCCATAAATCATATTAAAAAGACAGACAAAACCTAAGGGTGTCACCAAAGCAACAGGGTGAGGGATTTTTCTGGCCTAAAGTGACAGGAGTTGGAGGAGACCATGTGGCTATTCTGACTGTTTTCCACACATGCATTCTGTTTATGGTCTGTGTGTGCAAAATATGTCAGGAAAAAAAGCTCTCATGGGAGCTAGGAATCTGTCCAGCATGTGGCAAACCCCCATTATGACCCAGCCCTCTTCACTCTCCTGCTGCCATGCCAGGGGTCTTTCTCCACAAGCCTTTTCTGCAGCAGGCGGCAATTGAGATAAAAAGAGGTATTTCAGCATCACCAGCTCCCACAAACAGAGGCCCAAAAGTATCCTCAAACAGCCCAGGGGTGTTGAAAGCCAGTCTAGTGCTCAAGGTAAAGGGGAGGGACACCTTGAGCCCCATGGTTTGAGTGGCTTCGTGGCTTGCTGTGCCTCACTGGAGCTGGTGACAGGGCTTTTTATTTTTTGTTTTTTTTCTTCTTTTTCTGACAGTCCTTCATGTCTCCATGGAGTCCAGCCCCCTTTCACAGGGGGATATTAGAATAAATACACTTTCAACACTCCTTCAGCTCATCTCACAGTCCCAATAACAACAGCACAATATTTTAAACTGCTTTTGCAAGTCTCCTTTCTACAGGGCAGTTGAAAGGATATAAAAGCATTTTAACAATTTTATAGATCATCTCCGGAGCACTATTGTGATGTGAGAGAAGGGGAGTTTTTTTGCCATTTGCCCGTGGACAGCTGCCAAGCTCACCTGTCTCCACCAAGCCAGCGAGGGCCATATCACATCTCTCTGGAAGCTCTGCAGCCAGCTCTGGATGGCTTCTCACTTTTCTTATCTGAAAGACATGCTGCTCCTTTTAACCCTTTCTCAGCACTTGCCTGGGGGTGTTGCTCAAAACAGGCAACTTCTCTTTGGGCTTAGGGAAAGTAAGAGCTGTGAGGTGGATTTGGAGAACCCTGAAACCAGGCCCCACCCTGTGCAAAAAACCTTCACCCATATGAAAATTCCTCTAACCTTGCAAGTTATCCTACTGACCTTGGACCAAGTGTCCACAGCTCTTCTTTTGCTGCTCCCTGATCAGAATTCACCAGCCTCCAAATCAAACCCTTGTTTAAAATTCTCCAATTCCACAAGGTGCTGACTACATCTTCCTACTTAATTTTGCGGGGTCCTGCTTCTAATCTCAAAAATTATCATGAAAACCCTCCTGTGTATGGTTGACACAGGAGAGCTATGCAGTTTTCTTTGCTGGTGTTCAGGAAATATTTACTGATCCTCATGTGGGAGGTGTGATAGAAGTGTAGTGTAATCTACTCCCCTATGTAAGGATTTCTCAGTTTCCATCCCTACAAATGGATATTCTCCACCTTCCTCTTCTCCTGGAAAAAAAAAAGTGCATAAAATGATTCCCCGTCACATTCTTTCACTGACCTGGCAAAATACAGTGAAATTCAGAAGAGTTTAAATGATACAGAATATGCAGGCATAGCTTATCTAAGATAAAGCGTGCAGATCAAAATCAACAAAGCCTCACAAAAGAAAGCCCCAAAAGAGCTTTCATCTGCCTGATCCCATTTCCCTGCCTACACTTCTTTGTACCCTATTGCTATACATTAGTTCTGCTTTAGTTTCTGCTCTGCAGCAACATTGCTGCTTAAGAAAGATTCTGTTGAGTCATTACCAGCATCAGCCAAACAGGCTTTTCAGGAATGGAGGAGAAAATAAAGGCTGTGGTTTTCAAATTAATTCCATGCTGCTTAACCCTTAAACCACTAGTGACTTTCAGACTCTCAGCTAAGTCAATGCTGAGCAGAATTTGGGGCTATTGTGCCTGAGACAGAGACATGTCAGTGCTTTTGTCAGTGACTGACCGCTCAGGCAGCGTTGGCCATGCACCTGGAAGGCAGAAATTGTAGTGAAGGTCTCTGCTGTCCAATCCATGTCCTAAACACTCCCTTCTTGCTTGTAAACACTGCCTCAGATAACCCAGACCAACCCCTAAACAGAGACGGGGAGACGGGTTTTTCTACCAGAAGCTAGCAGTTGTAACTATAGGAATGGAAGAGAGACCAGCACGTCTCTCCCTTTATGATGGAGCAGAGATTCTCTACTTCTTCCCCCAGCAGGTTGTATTTAGGAGATAATAGTGTTTACCAAAGAGATTGAACTTGAATAAGCTCCTGGTACCTTGAGGTTTGAGTGGGCCCACAGGAGAGCCAACACTTAAAGTGAGAAGAGACAGAAGAGGCGAAAGCGGATAAGGTGATTTTCCTTGCCTTGGCTTTTAAAGCAATCTCAGCCTGCTAAACTTTCAGTCCACGCTGCCAACGGCTATTTCCAAAGTTATCTTTGCACAGAAAAAGGCTGGAATCATTCTCTCTCTCATTCTCTCTGCCTCCCTTTTTAATGAAAGCTCAGTTTAGATCTGATATCACTCTAAAAGGTTTGCTATCAAAGTTTTTTAGACCCACTGGGACAGATCACAGTTTGCAGAGGCTCATAGTTTCAAAGCAGATAACTGTAAAGTGAACCATTCAATGTTCTTCAAAATGCTCCTTTTTCTTGGGCTCATCTCTAACACAAAGCTGCACTGTGTTCAAGCATCATTAGAAGTGATCCCAGCTGATTACATGATGCTGGCCATAATTCTGCCTTTGCAGCAAAGTCAAGCAGCCCCCAGCCCCCAGCCTGTTCCACTGGGTGATGCTGAGGCAAGTGGGAGCCATTTGCAGTGAAGGCAAGCCCTACCAGCACAAAGGGATAATGCCAGCAATGTGCTCCTAAAAAAAGATCAGAACTTAAAAAATACTAGGAAGCATGAGTGCAGCTTCCCTTTAAAAATTCATATTTACCTTTCCCTGCTAAATGATAATAATAATAACAATTAGGAAAGACTCCTCTATTAGGGACTACAGCTGAGAAATTTCAGCTAGAAAGCAAAGAAATGAGAGAAGGAATTTGCATGTCGTCCTATAGAATGGCTGTTCTTTTTTTTTTTTTTTTTTTTCTAATGAAGTCATTAGTGTTAATATGAGGTTTTTAGTAGTCTATCCTCCTAAAAATGCATGGGAATAAATACCATATCTGGTAGGATCTCTGACTGTAACATGTATCACTGAGGCATCTATTTGCAGTGCGAAGGGAGGAGAGACTGTTTCATTTCCCAGGACAGTAATGGAAAGCAAGATGTCCTACAACCAAGGGTGGTGAAGGCTGGGAGAGGTACTGGGAAAAAAACATTCACAATAAACCAAAGAGTGAAGGAGAGTTTCAGGACAGATATTTGCAGGATGCATCATCATCAACCCTGGGAAAAGGCTGAGAGACAAAATGGTTGAATTAATTTATTGGGCCAGCAATGTCTGTCCTGCTCCATTTTCCCTATGACTTTGCAGTGTCATCTGCTCTAGAGCAGCAGCCTGGACAAAATTCAGGGAGTGGGTGGCTCTCATATGTCCATATTCCCTGCCAGGCTTTTTCCTTGCTTTTGGCCCCAGAATGCCTCTCACCAGAAGCATTTGCAACCATCTGACAGCTCTTCTGCTCTCTGATTCCCTAACAGGTCATGCAGATGGACCAGAAGCTGGACGACATCCTGAGCACACTCCAGGCTCAGCTGGGGTATCAGCTCCAGGCACAGATACCAGAGCCAGCCATCCCACCTGTCAGACATCCACTGACATCCACAGAGTCCCCCCAGTGACCCAGAAAATGTGAAAGCCAGTGGACAGCCACACGTGACCCTCTCACTCTTCCACGTCCGAGTATTTCTCAGTCTTGGTGTCTTCATCTGTGTCATGGGTGAAATGAAATATTCTGCACTAGTAGATTAATGAGGAAAAAAATAGAAAAAAAAAAAAAAAAGAGAAGAAACAGCAAGAAGCCAGTCATGACCTTAGAAGAGCACATAAGTTCTGCACCTGTTTTATTTTAGCCATCTTTAGCTTAACTCTGCCAGCCTGCAGCAGCCCAGTTCCCATCCCCCCAGCCCCATTCGGGCCGAGCGCACAGGCACAGGACACGCTGTCAAAGGAAGCATCCCAGCCAGGTTAGGATGACCCATTTGTGGGCACAGAACGGAAAAAGAACTGTTCTTTTGGCATTTAATCACTAAGTTTAATGCTCACAGCATGCCCGAAAGGGGGAAAGGAGCCAGCATTTGAACATGAAACAAATGGAAATCAGTGAACAGGAAAATTAAACAGCATGTTTTGACTTCTACCAAGCAGTGAGGATCATAAGAAGGGCAGATTTATATGCTAGTGCAAATGACAAAGTAAAGACAACAGACTACTGATTAAAAATATGGAAGTGTACACAGGCTGGTTGACATATGAAAGGCTGAAGCAGAGACTTTAGCTAATTAAAGCAAAGGGCTGCCAGTGAGATGAGATGCATGTTGGAACAGACAGGCAGGAGAGATAAGATCTGCGTAGGCTTACTTCACCAGAACACTGGAATAGTTATCAGCTAGGCTGATGACTGTTATGCAAAATGTAGTTGTTGACTCCAGTTGGCTTAATTTTAACATAAGGAACCTGTATGGAAATTGGCTATGAACTATCTGTAAAACTGGCTGAAAGCCACCGAGTAGCAGGGTGCTGCAGGAGGGCTGCAGCTGTGATTGAGAGTGACAGGGTTCCTTAAAGAAATGCACACACTGTTGATGAAAGTTAATCGCTGTTTAAATAAACTGCTGTATATAGTTTTAAATGCTAGATTTATTTTTTGCCTTGTGATCTGGCTGTAAATCGAGTGCACATGCTGGCTGATGTGCTGTTGTTGAGGAACACCTCTGGTGCAGGTACTGGGCTCACAAACTGCAGATGGAAATGCAGGTTGAGATGCAGATTTAAATGCAGACTGAAGCAAAGGCTGAGCTCTGGGTGGGAACCCAGGACAAGAGGATGAACTTTCGACCTTTGGGATGACAAAGGACACAAAGGCAGGTGAAAGCCAGCCAGGTGAATGAACACTGAGTCACAGCAGCAGCCGGGAATGCCCAACTTTTTGGGCAAGAAGGGAGATGAAAACAAGTGATGGCAGCGAGGTGGATGGACACAAGGATGGGGGCAGGGGACGAATACTCGGGAGGAAGAGTGGGACTGGCCATGGGTAGACTGTGATGGGATAAAATCCCAGGGGTTCCTTTGCTGGGGTCCCTCCTTGGAGGCAGCAGCTTGAGCTGTGTCTGTGTCACTGCCCCAGAAACAAGTGGCTTTATGGAATGAGACATCTGGGGCTCTGCCACCTCTGCCATGGCAAAGCTGGTGTGATGGGAGTGGGGTGTGTGGGGAGCCAGGCCAAGGAAGGGCCTTCAGTCCCAGAAAGTCTCTGGCCACGGCCAGAAAGTCCCAGAGGGAATGGTCTGACTGGGGAGTTTCCTTAACACTGCCACTGTGAAATGGATCTTACCTGGCACTTCAGAAAAAGGACAATACAGCACTGCTGCTAAAGGCCAAAATAATAAACCAAGCTAAAATGGGTACAGTGTTACTTACTTGAGTCTTTTTAATATATTTGCATAACCAAAAATTTGAATGAGCAGAAGATTGCAGACCAAAGACTTGATTCCTGGGAAATCCTAAATATATTCTATTCCCACTCATATCCATGAAAGCTAAGCCTGCATTGCATTAAAAGGCAACCTGAAAGACTGGTCTCTTAATAAGCACTTATTTGGACAAATGAGTAGTCCATTTCAATGTAATCAAATTAGTTTCTAACTATTACCTGTCCGTTTAAAACTCTTTCCCAGGTTTGTGTGTCTGGGAATTCAAGCTTGGAAAGAGCACAATGAGACTGATTCCAATCTTTACATTGCAGGCGCGTCTTAGACAGAATATTAATGATGTGTGAGAGGCAATAAAAATAAATAAAAAAAAAAAGAAACTACGTGGTTTTAATTAAATCAGCTGACAAGCTGCCATTCCATCTTGTCTGATTACTGCAGAGTTACTTAACATGACCAAATACAGCATGTAACATGGGAAAAACAGTAAATAATCGTTGCCAGAGCATTGAGTTGCTCCTGGGTTTCCATCAGGGTCATGAGCTTCTGCAATGGTCCTTCATAAAACATCCCTGACTGTGGCCAGCCAGAGCTAAATGGGCAACTGGACATCAAATTAGGGTTAACACTATTTTATCAGCCACAGGTAAAAGAAAATAAATCTGCCTGGAGATCCTTTTGTCACGGAGGTTCTTAATGGGAGCAGTGCAGCTTTCAGCAGAAGAGCTCAGGGACAGTGTGGCCAGCACAAGGTGACATTTCCTTCTGCAACACTGCAGATATTTGTGTCATATCCTAATCACTTGGTGGACCAAGTAATGCAACAGTGTTTTACTTACTCTTCGGCCTCAACAGAAGTGTTTAGGCACTATATATATAGCAACACCTACTGCTCTGAAGTGCCTGGAAAATCCAGCTAAATAGAATACAAGTGGTCACAGCTATGGTGAATGTAAAAAGGGATGAGTGGGTGGGAGGTGAAGATAAAGAGGCACACAATGGTCCCTCCAGAAAAACAGAATGTGTGCCAGACTGTCTGTACGCATGTGTGTGTGCACATGTGTCTTTTTTAAACTCAAGCCAGGGTTTTCCCATCAAGTCTTGAGTGAGGCCAGAGCCTGAACCTTCACAGGTTTTAAAATCCAGCAGTGCTGGCCATACATCCACTTTACCACTGGCACTGTGGACACCACAGTGTGGCAGGACCTGGCACCAGGACTCTGCCCATTGCTAGAATGGAGAGATGAGGGTGTGACTTGAGCAAATTGCAGGAGGAAGGAAGAACCCTAGTGGGAGACACCCTTTTCATGCCGTATGAAGAGATTAATGGTAAGAAAATTCAAGCAACTTAGCTTATCCATACTTAAGAAAATCTCCACACCCACAGCTAAGACAGAAGTTGCCATCCAACAAAATCTTTCTGATTGCCCAGGGGGAAAAGCACGCAGAATTGGCAGTGATGTGACCACATGGTGACACTTCCTGACCCTTCTTCTGAGTAAAGATGGTTTGGTACAGGCATGCAAACTGTATATTAATGTATTTGCACTTGGCCTTGTTGAATTTGATGTGGTTCTCATGGTCTCACTTCTCAGGCCTGTCCAGGTCCCTGTGGATGTCATCCCCTCCCTGAAGCCCATCCATGCCTGGCTCAGCTTGCTGTAACCTACAAAACTGCTGAGGAAGCACTCCATCCCACAAGCTGGGGCACTGAGGAAGATATTAAGTAGTTTTTTTCCCAGTACAGACCCTTGAGGCAAGTCACTCATTGCTGCTTTCCATTTTGACATTGACCTGTATACTGAAACTCTTTGGATGCAGCCATCCAGACAATTCCTTGTCTATCTAACTTTCCATCCATACCTCTCCAATTCTGAACTAGCAGTGTCAAGGGGGAGTCTATCAAAGGCCTTGAAGAAGTCCAGGTAGTTGATCTCAGTTGCCACTGTTGCAAAAGGTAAGTAGATTAGTCAGACATGACTGCACTTGCTGAAGTCATGTTCAGTCTCATTAATCCCCTCCTTGTCTTCCATATAATTCAACAGGACTTCTAGAAAAATCTGTCCCATGATCTTAACGGGCACTAAGGCAAGGCTGACTGGCCAGCAGTCCCAGGGTCCTGCTTGTTCCCCCGTGTAAAAACACACATGCTACCATGGATTTCCCCTTGACAGTGGCTGTAACACAAGCCAAAATGACAGAAAACATTCCCAGGGTAAGTCCATGTGTGTGTGTTTTATCTGCATTTGTACTGACACTGTTCACTGATGTTCACCCTACTCATTTCTGCTGGATGGGAGTGCAGCTGCTGAGCAGGGAGCACTCAGCAAGGTCACTCCCACAGCACATCTTCCCACACCAGTGGAACAGTGACAATGCCACGAATGGACACGGCCCATGAGGTTGTCAGCAGTGCGCAGCCACGTCTGCAGTGGTCCCCCTTTGCCTTTGGACTCAGAACAGAGGCACAGCCCAAGCAGCCAAGGTCTCCAAGGCCACAGGATCAGCAGAGGCAGCTGTCAGGAGTGCAGTTCACCAGTGCATCAAAAGACAAGAGTGCAGGAGACCAAGTATAGACGAGATACCCTTTTTTCCCAAAAGATCACATGGTTTTCTACCTGATCCAGTTTCGCTGTGGAAGATACATGGTGTCCTCTCTTACCAGAGATATAAACGGTCAACCCAAACAAGATTTTCCACATTCCTTCTAATAATGCATGACATCCTGAAGTCTGCTGTCTGCCTGTGATGATGCAAGATGATCAGAAGTCATTACAACAAAGCCCAAGGAGATTATTTTCTCATTTCCATAATTACATAATCAGTAATAATATCACAAACCAATCTCATCTCAAAACATGTACTCTGATCTTTAATGGTGATATTTCTTAAGTGATGTGTGGGATTAAAGTCCTGTGTATGATAAGGCCGCAGCAGTGAGGGAGATAAAAGTTCAACTTCTGTCAGCTGGGGGTTTTCATTCCCAATGAAAGGAAATTGTGCCCCCAGAACAGATGATATGAGTGACAGATCACAAATCTTCTGCCTCATCTGGAACACTCTCTTCATCTCCAGAGAGCAAAAAGTGAGAAAAGACTCTTCAGGCACAGCTGCCCCTTTCAGAAGTGGGCCTGTCCAGCAGCCCTGGATGTTTTCCATCCAACTGCCTTGTGGTATCACCAGAGGAACCTGTGCTAGAAGTTCCTCCAGTCTCTGTAGGACCAGGACAGCTACATTCCCAGCTCACTCGCTAAGGCAAATGAGCAGGGTTCTTTTGGTGCCTCTTTTCTCAGTAGCTCAAGAAGTTTTCTCTTCTCACTGATGTTTCCAACCTAAGCCCTGAAGGGTCTGGTCTGACAATACATTTAGGACATGCTGTATATCATGCAGCCCTATATAGCAGAGCTCATTCAGCACTCTTTTGAACAATGTGTCTAAAAAGAAAACCGTGGTTTAGGTAGTAAAATGTCACCAGGTAAAGAATCCCAAACATCAAAACTGCATTATTTAGAATTCTGAAGGAGTACATGCTAGAATCATTATAATGGCCAAGGAAAAGCCTGGTGAAGGGCCCAGGGTAGATCTTTATCAGACATCATTTCTAGCTGCAGCATAGCTCAGCCAGCAGAACTAGACAAGTTGGCACTGTGTTATCTCCATGGTAGGAAAAGGTTTGAGTCCCTCTCAACCAGCCTGAAGAGCAACCTCTTTTCTCAATTAAAACAACCGCTGCTGTTAGTCAAAAGGCACTCCAAGGTAACTGGAAATATTAGACACCAAAAGAGAGGAAAAAAGTCTAATTAACTAATGGTCATTATCCCTTTTCCCACATCCTTTTCTAACCTCCAGAGGATCCCAAGCTCTGGAGTGGTTTCCTGTTGCTGGGGATGTGCATGTGCTCCCTTCAGCAAACAGTCATTCAGCAAACAGTGCCTGTTAGACAGGAAAGAGAGAAACAGCCAAGAGCATCCTCCTTACAGGGAGCAGTTTTGCCAAAACACTTACTAGCTCGTGTTTAGCCCTCATTATGGGTTACAGTGGCTCCCAAATGACTCTGTAAAAGTCCAGTGTCTCTGCTTGGATTCCTGGCTGAACACCCGTTTGTCTCAGGGCTTGGAGTTGGCACATGTGGGTTTGTGAACAGAATTTTAACTCATCTTCATTATGTTGTTTGATCTTCCCCTGCGGTGGGTGGAACTGC